ATTATATGTCTTTTACAATTAAATGTACTTAAGGAATGATGTGCATTTCTGAATCATTGTCCCGTTTCCTGACCTTGACTCATTCAAAATATCTGTGGCCAGTAGGACTAAGATCCAGGCTCCAAAGGAAGCCAAAACAGGCATAAAGGAAGAGCAAGGGGCAAAGTGTTGTTGCAATCCCTGCATCCTGAGCCTGTATGATATGTGCTCAGAACTTTTCACTGGCTTTTCAGGTTCATTGTTGCAACAGTTTCTTGGTGTTAGAGCATTGTAAGTCCCCAAGAGGGCTTAATTTTTAATTTTTAATGATTCTTTTTATTGGTAACTAAGTAATCTGTCGGGATTAACCTCAACAGAGTGCCGGGCCCTAGAGCCCAAGGGAAGAGTATGCTAGCATATTGGGGAGGTATATTATAACCTCTTTAATCTTCATTTCCCTTCCACAAATACTTTTCCCTCTTGTGGTCAGATCCCTCCAATATCTTTAAGTGACAAAGTCTTTCATTCCACAATTGGAGACAAAGCTTAAAATATAGCTAATCCAGGGAGAAGGAACATAGCTACTTAAATTTATACTGATGAGCAAATGACTGCTACTACAGACTCCTAGATGGTCTATTAGATTTGGAAAGGGCTTCACAGCCCCAAGCCTAAACTTATTTTAAGGAGGAGAGGACTAAGAATTGACTTGGCCAAGGTCTTACATAAATTTTGAAGCACATTTTTTTTTCTGAAAGAAAGTTTTAATAGGGGAGCATCTTAAGGAGATTGTAAACAGACATTTGTGACCAGTTTTTACCAAGGGCTAGTTCTGCGGCATTCCAAGTATAACCTCAGGTCAATTTGTAAAGGAATTAAAGGTAGTCTGTCACCGGTGCTTAAAACACACCCTTCCCCTTGGCTCTGCCCTGGTGAGATTCACCAGAAGTTCATGTGTCTTATTCCTTTTTGTTCTCTTAGCGTCTAGCAGAGTGTCTGCCTCATAAAAGGCATTCAGTGAGTGTTTGATATAAGACTGAATGTTTCCAGAAACAGGGAAGGCTTTTCACTGAACCCTCCATACTCTCTCATTCTGCCTCCTCTCTACAGATTTCTTAAATAGCTGTCCAGGTTAGGATTTTTCCTTTGGGTGGGACTAATAATTGTGGTGTCAATGGTCAGAGACCAAAGTGAAGAAGGCTATCCGGTTTAACCAGGAGTGAACCCACAATCCTAGCCTTCCTTAAAGCATATGAGGAGATAGTCAGGCTATAGTCTGAGATGTTAGAGTGAATATTATGGAATCCATGTATCTCTGAAGGCCAGAGTCACCAAATCTATATCTCTGGTCGTTGTGGGCATCCTAAGTCAGGGAATGCAGCTTGCAACTGGGGGCTGACACACCTTCCCCAATAAGCTTCTCTTACTTTATTGGGAGGAACCCCTCCCTGGTTGTGGTTGGGGCTACAGGGAAAGAATAAAGATGGCACCATAGGGTTGTGGACAAGCTACTCAGATACTCATGGCTTGTGGGAAGAAAGGAAGAATTTGATCTGTCAGGATCTGCCCTTAGCTTTAATCCTGCAGTAGCCATGCATACCAATTCTACTTGCTTATTCTCTCCCTTTGCTGGTTCACCTGCACTCACCTGCAGGGTTGGGACCAGGCATGGCCCCTGGTCCCCAGCATGCCTACCTCTCTTTGAGCTGCCTCCATTAGGTCCCACTGCTCATGCCTTCTGTGTTCATGGCAAAAGTTTTCAGTCAGGGATGACAGTGAGTAGCCCTTTGGGGCAGGGCTACTCATCAGCACTAGAGGAAAACAAGATCCAGCAGCAAAGCCCATTTCTGCTGGCTGATGGCTCAGCATTGGCTGAGAGATGAGAGAACCTTCAGTTGGTCTGAACCAATGAAAGGGAGCCAAAGATACAGTCTCTCCTGCCATTAAAGAGATATTTCCACCTATGATTGGCCCCAGGGTACTTCACCTCAGGGTTCTCCTATTGGCCTGGAATAGCATGCTGGCAGCTAGGGCACCCTGTGGTGAGCAGGCACCTACGTAGGCACGCAGTAAGGCACAGCCTGCTGCTGGGCACTCAGGGGACAGGCAGATAGAGGAGGAGGTATCAAGATCCTCTCTCTGCTTAACTGGTGATATCTTGGGGTCCACCCACTTCTCCTTTTTGTGCCTCTCCCCTCGGGCTGGGCCTGCTCACTCTCCTGGTCCCATTCCCCAAAGGACTTCGATTCCCAGGTATGGTGGTGACTGGCAACACAGGGTAAGATGTAGACTTTTCTCACGGTTATTTGCATTGTTGTAGGGGATCCTGAAATCTGAAAAGTGGTGGTGGTCCAAAGAAATCTTAAATTCATAGAATTTTGGTGCCAAAAGGGAACTTTGAAATAGTTCCCATTTTACAGATGGGAAGAAAACTGAGGTGAACTCCAAGAGATAATGGAATTTGGTCATAATCATTTAGCTAGTTAGTGGCAAGTCTCCTGAACATAAGCAAGGGCAGTTTGGACGCATCACAAATGAATCTTAAACTGTGGTATTTCATGTACATTTCTCCTGTTCTTCACACCACGGGTTTTCTGTCCTTAGGAAACTCATAGTCCCACTGGGGATATCTTCAGATTACAAATTAGTGGCTTAATTAACATTTACAACAAGTTTTTAGCTGTGCCTTCAGTGGATGAAGAAGGAGGCTTGTGACATGGGCTTTCTCTCTGTTTACCCTCTTTTGTGATTACTAACCCACAGTAGTGAATTGACTGTGACCAGGGCTCTGGAGTCATGTAATCAGCTATCTAGCTAGGAAGTTGTCCAACTGGTAACTCTGGCCACTAAAACCATGATGTTTGAGCCATCGCTGTTGAAGACACAACAAAGAAGCAAGTCAATTACTAAATGGAAAAAGGCCTGAGCCTAACCTACTGCCATATTAATACCAGTGCTTCATTTTCATGCATTTAGCCTCCAAATCCCCTTTAGGTTAAAGACCTGGGTTTATTTGTTCATATATTAGGTGGGACTCTGAACAGTCCTGAAATCCTGGTCATGAGTAGCTCTGAATCATCAACAACAATGATAAGGATAAAGGGATTGGGATTGCTCAGTCCAGCTTTTCCCCGTTATGTCTGTTTCCTTCACGCTTCTACCTTTCTCATTCCCCTTTTTCTTATCCTTTAAAGGCCAGTTTAAGTCCTGCCTTCTCCAGGTGCCTCCCCTTAATAGTGCTGCCCACATCAATCTTTCCCTCTTTTGGATTCTTACTGTCCTTCCAGCCTATCCCTCAAAGTGACATTTCATTATATTCCATTTGTATTTATCACTATTGGTTTGATGTATATCAGCCTCATCTTCTCAACAAGAGTATAAGTTTCATAAGGGCAGGGTACACATTTTATCCTTGCTAAGTGTGCCCCACAATGTCTGGTAGATGTCCAAATTAGACTAGAATGATAGCTTTTGTGGTGACATGGGAAATGCTCACAATATACTGAAGTGTCTAGCTCAAATACAAAAGTGTATGATTACAATTTTATAAAGACATGGAAAATAAAAGCAAGCAAGCAGAAAGGTAATACACTGAAATGTGTGAGAGGTGAGTGGGATGATAGGTGAGTCTAAACATTTACATATTTACCTGACATTTCAAAGTTCAACAAGGAGCATGTATTACGCTTATGAGGAAAAAAAGATTATTTAAAAGAGAATCATAGATTCATGAGCTCTGGAAGGCAGAACAGGAAAAGACTGAAGAGCTCATGTAGGTCCTGTCTTATTGTTTTAAGATTGAAAAGCCTGGGGCAGAGCTATGGGAGGTGCCTAGCTGGTAACTCAGTTTCCATCCTCTAGGAGCAAACAGGTCAGTTTTCTGTAGCTCTAAACCTGAGCCTCCTAACCTCTCCTCAAATCCACCTTTCCCTGGGCTTCTCCTCTAGGCATCGGTCCTGGAAGTGGCAGTGTGGTTTTCTCCTGATGAGGTTTCCCATGATTCCTTGGTGTCTCCTGGGTAGGGGATCCTGAAGGGTTGGCTTTGACTCATGCTCTAGTCCCTTGCTAGCCTCTCCTGGAATTCCCTGCTTTGTCTCTGAAGCATCCCAGGACAGTAGGCTATAATATCCACCCTCCCAGATGGCTAGAAGTAAAAAACACCTAGCTCTACCCTTTCCTAGCCATATATACTTACTGCATTCTGAGTACTTGCTGGGAAGGGTGATCTTGAACTAATTCCACTCAATACCTTTGCAAAGGCTTGCTGAGAGCAATACTATTTAAGGAGGGCCACATGAAATTGGTGCTTGAAACCCATCCATTCCTTTCCCACTGGACCCAACAGACTAGTGCCAGGTACCTGCCTTGCCTGTAACTTTCCTTCTAGTTAGGTCTACCTCACTCATACCCAGGACAAAGGGCACAAGAGTGGCCTAGGGATGGCCACTGGACCCCAGTCAGGCCATCAATGATCTGGTAGAAGACCTATGTGGTGGATTTTTCTACTAGTTTGTCTCTTGCTAGCAGTGAAATCTGATGTGCCCACAATTGGTTAAAGTGATGAAGACTCTTGTTAAATGCACATTTGTCACTTAGGATGATAAACACATTTAACTTGTTGTGTTCATCTATGCTTTCATCCTTCCATCCATCCACCAAAAAAGCATTGGGCTCCTATTTCTTATTTTCACTTTCCAAACCACAAAGCTCTGAAAACCAAAAACTTTCTCATAAGTTTGGCGCTAAAACCCATTTTAACTTACATTATGATAGTCATTCTTTATTCCACTTAGTGTGAGTATTCATACATTTCATGACAAAAATATTAATGTTTTTGATTATGGGGAGCTATGCTGCATCCTGCTAGAGGTGTTATGTGATATTGGCAAATGGGCATGATTACCTTGATCAAATTCTGCAAATTCTGAATTTTGAAACATCTGGCCCCAAATATCCCAATGTTTGAGATAAGGCACTTTAACCTGTAAGATCTAGGGATGGTGAGGTGGTAAATACCCTACCTGAGTTGTCCAGGAACAGAGAAAACCACTCAGTGAAGGGAGTAGGCATTCAAGTCTTCAGAGAGAGAGGGCTTGCTTAAGTCAAGCCAAACTGAGTTGGGTCACTCAGCCATTAGTACAAAGGGAATGAACAGGGCTGCAAACAAAAGACAGAATAAAGACTCAGGAGAAAGACGGAACTGAAATGGAACAAGAATAGTTTGAGAATGGGGAAATGAGAAGGAACTAGAAAGCAGCAGGAACAAGGTGTCTTTGCTTCCAGTCAATTGGCTGATGGCTGTTAGGTACGAATTGGGGTCAGGTTAGCTTTAAAGCTGGAAGATTGTAGCAGGCAGATACTGAGAGAAATGAGACACAACCTCTGTCCTCTATTTTCTGAGAGTCTAGAATATCATTAGCCAGAAGCCACGGTCCTGAGAGAATGGTTAGAAATTGGAGTCACATTAGTCTGAGGCAAAGGTTTGGCTTTGAATTTTTTCAATCTCCGTATTTTTAAAGCTTTATTTTTTAGATTGTAAAATATACAACACATAAAGAAAAGTGCATAAATCATAAACGCACAACTTATTCAATGAAACACCCATGTTAATTGTTACCCAGTTATAAATAGAATATTATCAGCACCCCTGGTGCCCAACTGGTGTCCCTTCCCTAATCATAACTCCTTTCTCCCCTACTAAAAGGTAACAACTTTTCTGACTTTTCAAAAAATCACTTCCTTTCTTTTATTTATACTTGTACACCTTAGCATGCATCCCTAAATATTATAGTTTTGCCAGTTACTGACTTTTATGTAATAATTTAGTATGTATGCTTTTGTTTCTGGTTTCTTTCATTCAATATTATGTTTGTGAGATTCATCCATGTTGTTGCATAAAACTGATACTGTTCCGTCTCATTGCTGTATAATATTCCCTTTTGTGAATATGCTACGATTGAGTTAACCATTCTACTGCAGATGGGCACTTCCAGTTTGGGGCTGTTCGAATAGCATTACTATGGTTATTTTCGCTTGACTTTTGGTGCACATGTGCCTGCATTTCTGTTAGTGGTGGAATCATTAAGTCATAAACACACGTTACACTTTGCTGGCTGCTGCCAGTTTTCCAAAGTGTGTACCACTTGTACCAATTTGCATTCTTCCATTCCATCAAATCATTATTCACACTAAGTATTGTCAGACTTTTACAATTTAATCACTCTGGTGGGTGTGCAGTGGTATCTCATTGTTTGATTTGCAATTCTCTGGTGACTAATGAGGTTGAGCATCATGGCCTTTTGGATATACTCTTTTGCACAATTCCCATTAAAGTCTTTCGTCCATTTTATCCTGGTAGATTGTCCTTTTCATATTCATTTCTAGAAGTTCTTTAAACATTCTAGATGTAAGCTTTCTGTTATGTGTGGTACAAATAAATTCTCCAACACTGTGGCTTCCCATTTAATGCTTTTTGAGTCTCATTTTCTTTCTCTAATTTCCATCAAGCTTCCCAGGCCCAAATGTCCCCCATTTTGCTAAGGTTTTAACAAGTTCACCTGGGGCCTGAGGGATAGCTCACTAAGGCTGCAGGGCTGCTCTCTCCACCTTCCCTTCCTTTGTCCCTCCTACTTATTTGCCGTGCCCTCCCACCTCTCTCTCCATTCCTTCAAACCTTGCCCATTCTTGGGAGGCTGCTTATTATTCACAGGATGGATAGAAACAACCTTCTTTTAGCCATGGTGCCAAAACTGTCAGATTTGCCACGTGCCATTAATAAGTCAGAAAACCTTCACTCTGGAAAGCACTTGGAGGTCATATAGTTCTAATGATGAGGAATTGAAATCTCAGAGAAATTAAGTGGCTTGTCCAAGATTATACTACAAGTTAGTGGCCAACTTAGGACTAGAACTCAGGTCTCTTGCATGCACGCCCAAGCTTTTTCCACTCCATTATGCTAAGAAAGACCAAAGCACACAGTTGCACATTGACTGGGGCATTTTTTTTTCTTCTGAAAATAAGTGCTGTCTGTGTCTGTGTAACAACGTAATCGGTAGAGACTATGGCTCATGTCTGTCTGGACCCAGGTTGAGAGATCACATCACCTCTGCTTCTTTCCCATCTCCTGGCTGTCAAAGCCTGAAGGACAACAAATGGCTTGAGTAATGAGATGAGTTAAGATAGTGTCTCCCACGCTGAATTATGTGCCAGTTCAGGACTACAGGATTCTGCCACAATCCATTTACACAAGAAATTAAATTGAAGATCGCAATGTAATATTCATATATTAAATCCTGGCGGACAATCAAAGTAATTAAGGCCAAATGTTCTGAATCATCCTGTGGCATCATGAACATTCTATTGCTGGGTTTTTAGAAGGACTTATACAACCAATTATCTTGGAAATCATTAAACCTCCTTTGGAATGTGAGTAATTTGAAAGCCACCATGACACCCAGTGCTACTCAAACCACTTTGCCCCCATGAAAGAACAACTCTGCTAGACAGGAGTGCTGGGTGGGCAAGGAAAGTCTCATTTTCAAAAAGCTAAGGCTAGCGGATAGGAACCAGTCTCTGAGCAACCCCCTCTCCGCATTGTGTTTTTCAAAAGGAGTGGCTATATTTCATCCTAAATTGAAGTAGTTAAACTGATGTAGGCTACTGGGCTAATCCCAGCTACAGGCTGATCTGCTTGCTGTGTATTTCTGTGGTTCTCACAGATACATTCTACTGATCAAAACAAAACAAAACAAAACAGAGTTTGAAGAAAGAGGATGGCTCCGTCTAGCCCCACAGTGATGAATAGGGTCAACCTTCAGATCTTCTCCACCATGCCCCATCGTAGGTCACCTCATCTCTTAAAGTTTCTCCACATGACCTCATCTCTTAGTGCTTGTTTTTCTCATCTTCCCTTTGTCCACACCTCTGTTATGGCACTCATCATAAAGTGCTCAATTTATTTGTTGACTCCCCTTCTGGAGCGTAAGCCCTTCAAGGGCAGGGGCTATGCCCTAATCTTTCCAGTGTTTCCACACGTGGCCAGGTGCATGAGTCAGAGAAGGTGCTTTGTTTATGGTTGGTGCATGTATGAAAGATTAAATATATAAAAGACAAATTATCAAGAGAACAAACTCACAAACATACACAAATGTATCTCTGTTTGGGAATGACAGGCTTAGTGTCATGGCAGCATCAAAGAGAGGAACCAATCTTCCTTTCTTTTCCAGTAAATGCTTTAATTCTCTCCAAAACACAAGGTTCTCAAACCATCACCAACAAATAAAACCCTATCATGGAGAATGTATAACTAAAAGATACACAAAACGTATTAAATTAACTTGTACTTTTTCAGAGTTGTACTTAGGAAACAAGTTATTTTACCTGAACTAATTACAAGACTTCTTTGCATCTTGAATATTGCATACAAAAAAAAGACCTCTGATTCATCAGTTTTGCCTGTGGGAATAATTAAAAGTGTGCATATACAGTAATATTCCTATGAAATTATTTCTTCTCATAAATATTTATCCATAGCCTAAATTTGTCGATGCTGAACAGCATCAATATTTCTTGACTTTGGTTCACATACTGCCCCCTTGACTGTACCACAATTCTGATTTACAAATGAGATTCTTGGGAGATATTGGACTGTATCTTGTTCATGCCTATATCCTTAGTTCTAGCACAGAACTTGGCACAGAGCATGCACTCTCTGTAGAATGAATGAATGAATGAATGAAAGAAATACTAAGTGAGGAAGTAGCCCTCAGAGATGATTTGTAGCAAAGTAAAGTTGTACAAAACAAGCCCCATTCACTGATATTCTCTTTGTGACCCATTGGCTACTGCATCCCTGAGCTTTTAGGCCAACCTGATCCACCCACCCAACCAGCATGCCATTTCAAAGTCAGTTGTCCTACCTCTCCATGTGCCCAGCACTAGCCAGAGGGGTTGGTGCCATCTGTGTGTCAGCCCAAGCCAGATGGACACACCAACAACCATCTGTGGCTTTCCTGGGTGGGCATCTTGAGCCCACATGTTTCACATCATCATGGGCCTATGAGCCAGTGCTGGAAATGGCACCAAGAAATATTGATACTGCACAAAATCAATAAACTGGGGCCACAGCTAAATATTTATTGGGGCAGACAGTGACGCCATGTTTGCTCAGAAAATTCAATCAAGTTCTGTCCAATTACTTTGGGTTTAGATTTGAACGAATTAGCTCTTAGTCATAGAATTTCAGAATGTCAGAGCTGGAAGGACCCTTAGAATTCATCTGGCCCTGTATAACCTCGAGGTTTTCAAACTTCGCTTTTGCAAGAAACACTTTGTAACCAAGGAAATCTTACGACGCTCCTCTTATTCAAGTAGGGGTGAAGATCCTGAGGCATAGCCTCCCTCTCTCATCTGCTTCAAACTGCAGAAGTGAAAAGGGAAGTCCAGTGAAGTTAAAGAGGATCATGGCATAATGGAGGCAAAAACTTCTAGTCTTGGAGTAAGCATCAAGACAGACTCCAAATCTGTCTTAGCCAAGGGCCTGATATTCAGCCATTTACACTTATGCCCATAGGGGTCTTCTGGATATGATCATTCGAACTGGTGAGAGACATCTGTTCCTAGGAGCGGAGACAAACCTCCTCCTCCCACCCTGGCGGATGTCTCCTTCTGTATCCGTCTACTCATGTGTCCAACTTTTGAGGTGTCTTTGTTTCTTCTGCAGCGGTATATCTAGTTCCTTGTCAGTTTCTGCCTGAGGCCCATCCTTGTGTTCAGGTTGCCTCTTCTTTCTGCTGTGGGTCTATCAGTGCCTACATCTCAAGTCTTTCAGCTCCTGTGTGTCCAGATGAACTTTTCATGTGCTTATTTGCCTCATAATGTGTGTCTGTGTCTGAATGATTTTGCTCCCGAGTACGTGTGCATGGGTGTGCATGTGTTCTATGTGCTCAGAACTCATCTATCGTTATTTCAGTAAGTGATTGTTTTAACCTTTCTGTTTCTGCCTTCAGTGTTTTACCCCACAAGAATGGCTAAGAGTGAAAGTGGGAAGGAGAGAGAAAACAAAACATTTCTGGTCTTCCTAAAGACTTCAGTCTCCTCTTCTATGTTTCCTAACTTTTTTCACCTATTTATTCCCTAGTAATCCTATCTCTCTCATC